TGTGCGGCAATACAGGTGTGATAATAAGTATAATGAGTCTGTTGGCGACAGCTGAGCTCAATTCCCATTTTCTTTGACTGCGTAAATTCTACGACATTTTTTACGCACTTTTCATTAGGCGCATTTGTGCCAGCTGCTAATGAAGATCTAATGTCATTAGCTAAACTTAATTGGATTAATCCAACAACAGAGTTGAAATTTTCTAAATAGCTTAACTACTTGCATAAGTGCTAAATAGTATCAAATAGTTTGGTAGTTACTCGGATAACCTAGTTATTGTGTTAAGCGCAATTTTAATGGATTAAGCTTTAATGAGCTTCGCAAACTTTTAATGGCAGTCTAAGTGCCATTTTTTTTTAACTGTATGTCGAATGGAATTCTGCTGTTCAAAATACCTGCTGTTTGTCAAGTGATTGGCGGATTGCCAGATTATCAAGTCTTATATTCAGACAGTAAAGTCGCTTAAAGCTTTATGGAGCTTTTCTTAGCATATCATGCTAATGAAAATATTATATTTAAGCTTTCAGTCAGTTGCATTTGCTGCACTAAAAGTGTACGCAAGCTTTAAAGAGCTTTTAAAGCTGTTCAAGTTAAAGCTCAACAGATGCGTTGAATTAATTACCACCGACTTTATTGATATCACTTCACCCACTTATATGCAGCCAAGATTCATCTTGACATTTTCGGCCCGTGCCATGAGCTGCCTTAGGGGGCGACAGTGCCGCGCCTGTCAGACAGTCAGATAATTATGCCCGTAACTGGGCGTCTAACTGATATCGTCTGACTCTTACCAGTCGCTGCTTTATTAAATCTAATGGCCGCTGTGGTTGCTCGAAAGCACGAAGGGTGGATGATGGTGGCACGGAGAAGTGTTATGGCTGTTTTGGCATTACAATAAATAACAAACAGAGACCCGGAACAGGCAGCCCCACGCACAGCTCGGTAGCCCAGTTAATAGTTGCTCTGTGCACCATTATATAAACATGACTTTGACTCTGTGTCCCGGAGATGGAATCGGATCTGGCTGCGTTGCTGCTCCCAGTGCCCGAATTGACTTTAGTTTATATTGTTTTTGTAGGCTCCTTAGCGCCAATCGTGCTGCTGTTGTATGTGTATTTTTTTATTTTTGGTTTTTTTTGGCACAGATAATCAGGCAGTCAGCCAGCTGAATGTTTATGCCTCTGTCTGTGTGTGTGTGTGTGTGTGTATATTGTATCAGCCTGGCCACATTTTCAATATATATACACACGGTCTTTGCATTGGGGCTAAGCTCAACATCAAAGCCGCCCGCCAGTCGCCAAGGACCTGCGGACAAGGACGCGCCAGCAAGAAGAAGAGCTTGTGGCGCACGCAGAGATTTGGCAGCACAGGACTCACGAATGCGTATAAACGTTGAATATTTGATAAATGCAAAATGGGGGATAATATTAAAACGCGAAATGCGTTCAACATAATGCCAAAGAAAACACAATACGATGACTATCAAGTTGTTCCAAATATAAAAAAAAGTCTTTGTATATTAAATAACCTGTATATGAGCAATGGAAAAGAAATAAGAAATAAGCAAGAGAAGCCGCATAGAGCAAAATCAAAGTCAGTTTTGCTGCACTTGAATACGGGCCGAGATTATCGGAAGGTTTGAAAAAAATATTCAATATAAGGTATCAAACATATTTAGACCGCTCTGAGCATAATCTGATTATATTTATATAACTCTTAATAGTTGGTAAATATTCGAAGAATATAAAGCTCTTCTAGCTTTGATTTTTATCAGAAGAAAACCTTCAATGCCCAGGAGTACATCAAAAGCATTTAGTTATAAAAAAAACTATCGTATAATATAATATTTGATGTAACTTCATCTCAGGCACTTAAGATATCGGAATAGCCGGCAGGGTTCCGTCTTTTATTTTGTAAATCGAAGTAATTTTGATTTTTGAGCAAGATATGGAGACTAGGGAAATGTCTAGCTAGAATCATGGGCTCCTGTATGAATGGAAGCCCGACAATTATTCAAGCTTTTCGAGCAAGTCATTTGAAATATATATTATATAATACATGAGAAAATTATGCGTAATATATTCCATTCAGGAACTTGGGGAAAGAAAAAAGAAAAGAATAACTACTTATAACTCGGAATGATATTTGAAACATTAGTTCTTCAATTCACCAGTCTATAAATATTTTTATAACTTAAAGCACATTCACGAATCTTCGCCATGTTCCAACAATGCGCCTGATTCTAAGATTTTAAGAACCTGCTGATAAATTGACAGGGCCTGCTGCGAGTTCCCCAAATGGGAAACCAACAACGGACGCCAGGGAATTGTGTGCTTCGATGATAAGAAATTGAGAGCTTGAGTGCATTTGATTATTTTTGTTCTCTTTTGGTCAAAATGATTTTTACAATATATTATTTACGCAGCTTCAGCTGTCAATTGGCATTAGGCCATAATAATTTATTGATAAACAACCAAAATGGAAAGCTAAGCGGCTTTACAGCTTGCAATTGTTGGGGCCATTTAAATGTCTAATTGTGCCTGTGTTGACAATGGACAGGGGAATAGGGGGAGGTGCGCACAATTAACCTGGCCTAAAGCTAACCGCGCTCACTTTGAGGCTAACTTGTTTGACTGGCAAACACACACGCACACACAATAAGCACGCACAACCAAAGCACACACTCGGACAACCGCGAAACGTAAGCACTTGAGAACGTAAACCAAAATACCGTTAGAGGCGTTAAGCGTGACGTAAGCGTAAGCGTGCGCTGCCTTTGGCGTGCTGCCTTCAACTGATTGTGGCAAATTATGAATCTGAATGATGCTGCCTCAGCTGCTGCCAGCAATATTCGTGGCACTTGCTTCATTTCATTTTTCGGAGTCGCGTCTCGTTTCGGTGCATGCAACTCGTGGCACTAGGGCACTAGCACAGCCGCCCACGGCGCATGTCTCGTGAGCGCGTACTAAAGACAGAGAGGCCACAGAAGAAAGTGGGGCATAGAGATGGGGGCTGGGTAGTATGGATAAGTGGGTGCCATATATGTATGCCATATGTCATATGTATGTCATGCAATGCAAAATACTCGTTTCAGTAAAGCAGCTTAAAGAAGTCTGATGGAATTTAGAAGGGATGCGTAGTATAATTGTCTATATATATATAAAAATTGATCTATATCATTTGCTTATGCCATGTAGTACGGGTAAGTGGGTGCCATATATATGCCATATGACAAACATACTTATGTATGCCACTACATGTGAATATTTTTCAGAAAACTAAGAAGGTATTTCGAAGGAATGGACTAGTGTGTGTTAACTATCTATATATATTTATATATAAATATAAATTGTTCTATATCGTTTGCTTATACCCTGTAAAATGTATTACACTTTAATATTTAACACTCGCTTATGCCATTCTGTTCAACTGTGCGCTCTGATTGCAAGTTGTGCCCATTTCGGAGTAAACAACCAGGGCTGCTTGAGCTACACACACACTCACACATACTCACACTAACGTACACACACACATTCGTCACACACTCAGTCGCAGCGTCGTAAAAACTGTCGTTGAAGTTTGCGCTCAGTTTGAATTGTGTTTGGGTTTAAAAACGCATCAAATTTGACATTTTAAATGTCAATTGTTTGCCCGACAATGTGTTCAACTCAGCTCGTATAGCTAGTCATCAATTGAAATGGCAGAGTTTTCTAAATTTGCTCATGGTTAAGTCCTTAAGCAGTCTAAACAAGTTGTTGTCTTTAAGCTCTGCTCGAATTTTAATTAAATTTAAGAATTTTAATGCGCCTTAGCCATAATTAAATAACTGAGTAACCCGGCGCCGAGCAGGCTAATAGTGGGAAAGATTTGAGATGTAAAGATACTCGATTTAAGAACTAAAATAACTGCTTGATATTAAATTTTTGATTCAAGAACGAATCGCACTTAACTTATGTATTTGGGTAAAGCGAGCAAAGAAATTTCAACTCTAGAGTTTCATTTGGATTTAAGCAAAATTCTCTTTATTGAATTACACAATACAACTGAATTTATTAATATTTTTGGTTGCAAACATGTTGCAATTGTAATTGAAATCGTAATTGTTGCACAGATTAACAAATATTTGGTTGCAAGCATATGAAATTCAATTGAAATTCAAGAATCGCATTCAATAAATGGCACTCACAAGTGCAAACAAAATACAATTTATTGGGCCAGAGTTCAGTCAATTGTGTGCGAATGAAACGCAATATTAATAATAATAAAGTTTTTAATACTCTTGGCCATAAATGTGCGAACTGGCCAGAATGAGAAGGACATGCAAGAGGTGCGCGTGGCGGCAGCGAAAATATGAGAGAGTAGTTCGGGGGGCCAGCTGAAAAGATTTACGAGCTGGTCGAGCACCGGGGAATGCGCATAAATAAATTTCGATGACAATAATGAGTGCGTCAATTATTAATGCTGGACGTCAGTTTCGCAATTATAAGCGATCGATATAACACTTCAGCGACAAAGAGCATATAAAAAATCTATAAATTATCTGTGCCCTGATTGATTGGTAGTCCAACAAAAACGCGAATCTCTTGCTTGAATTTATGAGAATCGCAAAGAAAAGCAATATTAAGCTGAACAAATGTTTAGAATCGTTCAATTTAATATTGCCTTTCTATGCGATTCTCATAAACACAAGCAAATGTGGTTCATTAACAATTGGTTACATGTCTCGTCGCACACCAGCACACCCTGCATAAGCTATGCATAAAATCTGACTTATTCCGATCAAATGCACACAATTTTTGTGTTTTTATTGGAGCTTTATCATTAAAAACACTTCTCAAGCATTTTGTTTCACTATTTATCAACAGCTAAATGCATATGTTATGGTTGTTAACTAGTTCTGGCAATTTTATCGTTTGATCAGTCGATCTATTTTTGCAACCCTTTAACTTAGCTATGTTAGGATCAAGTAATTTATTTATATTCTGAGATACTTCAAAATGTTTAAATTTCCACATTTATCATCGTTTTTTTATAATGCACATTATTTGTATTTACATTTGAGCGAAACTTTGCCTAAAACCCCCATAACCAATCAAGGACAGCTTGCATGGTACCCGGTTTGCAATTTTGTTTAGGCTTTTTGGTTGTTGTTGTTGTTGTCGTTATTGGCCCGGTTATATCATCGTCATCTTCTTTTTTAAAACCGCAGTCTGCATTGTCGTTGTCGGGCCGGCAAAGATTCTTGTATTGCCTGTCGGTGCCGCAAGCGCACGAATCGCCAGGCGTTTTTCCGATGCGGTAAGCAAATTGATCCTTCTGCTTATTGCAACCATAAAGGCAGATCATCAATTGGTGTTTCCAGAGGCCCTCATGGAAGCTGGCCATGGCACAGCCCACACGAGTGTTTGTACCCGTCATAAGTTGCAGAAAGTGTGAAATATCCTGACTGAAATTGAAATTCTATATATTTGTTAGATTTGAAATGAATCCGTTTTCTACTCACCCGCCGGCCGATTTGCCCGTCAATAGGCTCTCCAAGTTTACATAATAGTACTGATCATACCAGGCCTTTAAATGTGAGTTAAGTATTTTGAGTACGTCTTGCTGCTGATGCTTTGGATATTTGCTGAAGACCGCATTGTAGCCTGGCCTGGAGGCCTGTGTCGTTGACAAACTCATCCCAATGGGATCTATTGTGCAGCGCATCACGGCCAGCTTGGCCAAATCAGCCAGAATCGGATCCCAGGCGACTAGCATCATGCGTGCCGCAGCCGGAAGCCTTGCCATATTGCCCTTTGCCACCATGTTGCGATAGACATTATGTTGCCTCACGATGCGCTTAATCAATGCCGGCGTCATCTCAATAAATTTACGCGGCTTGCCGCATTTTTCGCTCCACTCCTGAACATTAAATGAAACTTATCTCTTATCCGATAAAATAGAGACCCATTTTACTCACTTCCTCGCTCTCGCAGGCGAAATGCGGCTGATGTTCTTGACAATAGTCGGGCGCTTCAAGTTTCTCACTTGTTGTCAAGCAAGAATTTGGCATTGCGGTTATCCTGGCCAGGCCGAGGATCACAGCAGAAACCAACAACAGATTGTGCCGCTGCATCGCAAAACATTTAATTAGACCAAAGCTTAGAAGGGTAAAATTATTTATAAATAACAAAATGTTTTGCAGACGTTATGACAGCCAAATCCATTTGTTAAGCATTTTAGACATAGCTCGACAATTTCCAAGTATTATATAAGCAGATAGCTTAGAGGAATGAAATATTTGCATTGCTATTGGATCTAATATCATGCAACAGTTTATTTTAGATTCAGTTCAGTTGCCTCTTTGAGAGAGTTCAATAATGTTGAACATTTGCCATATTGTTTACGTTGTGAACAGAAAATCAAATAATTGTGAACCATTATCAAATAGCCACACTCAGCGACGGCGTAGATAACTCTTTGGAATAGATAAGCTAACTTCCAATCTCTGCTAATGGTGGGTTCCTAAAGTTCTGCGTGCTGGTAAAAAGTTCCCTTTAATGACTAGAAAGCGTGCACTTGAATTGTCCGAAGTACTAACAAATGTTAACTAAAGTCTCTCGATGTTATTAACAGCGCGCAGCTGAAGCTCTGTTACTGTACATATTAAGCTAATGTTAACAATAACAAGACCTCAAGCCTCTCAAAGTTATTAACAGCGCGCAGCTGAAACTCTGTTACTGTACATATTAAGCTAATGTTAACGAATGCCAGAGTTTTGCAAAACTTTTAAAGCAGCCCACGCAGCAAATATTTATGAGTAAACAACGAGTCAATTTGAATCAATGAATAAGCACCTGGTCTCATAAAATATGCATTAGCAATCCTTTAGTTTAATATACATATATATATATAAATATAGAAAAAATTAACACAGACTTAAGTATTGGGCCTTGTCTAGTCGCACAAGACAAAGGTTCTTAGTGCAGGTTCTCCTGGCGATTGGGTTCGATGGTGACACGGGCATAGGGACTGCCGGCGCCCACTTTGCGTCGCATTGTGACGCCACGATGCGGTCGCAGGCCCATCACAATTAGATAAACGCCCGCGGCACAGACTCCAATTAGGCCCAAGATGATCAATCCGTAGGCCCATCGGGGCCATCTTTCGCAGCTAAACTCATCGTCACGCACCGAAGAGACGAGCATACCGCGCACTCGGGCCGGGCGCAGGCAACGTCCGTTCGTCTGTATGGCCAGTTCCTTGAGCCAGGCTAGCTGGCAGTCGCAGTAAAGCGGCACACCATTGAGATCCAACTGGGTAAGTTTCCTAAAAACCGGTGACAAAGTGACATTAAAATTGCGCAGCAAAGTGCCACGAAAACTTAAGATGCGCAACGGCGGCAGCACCGAATAGCCATTCTCCATTACGAAGACATCGCCATCTAGCCAGCTCAGCCGGCGGCTATTCTGGAAGCTCATCTCCTCCACCTGGCGCAGCGGGGCGAACGCGTGTGCCGCGATGCCCTGCAGCAGGGGCATATCCTCCACATAGAGCTGACGCAGCTGGGTTAGATTGGCCGCATCCTGCGGCAGCAGCTTCTCCAACAGATTCTCACTAATGTCGAGGCGCTGCAGCGCCGCGGGCAGCTGGCCGGGCACACGCTGGAAGAGATTGCGTCGCAGCGAGAGTTCACGCAATGGAGCATCAAGCGGCAGTTTCAGTTCGCTCAGATTGCACGCATCCAGATGCAGTGTATCCAGCTTCGGATTAATACCATAGCTCTTGTACAGCTCCTGGCCGTTGGTCTGGTTCAGCTGCCGGTTCCAGGACAGCTCCAAAGTGCTCAGCACCAGCAGCGGCGCAAAGATCTGGTCGGGCAGCGAGTGCAGATTGTTGTGCGCCAGGTTGAGCACCTGCAGGTGCGGCAGCCCGGCAAACGATTGCGCCTCCAGCTGTTGTATGCTGTTCCAGCCCAGATACAGTTCCCGCAGGCTGGACACACGCTCAAAGTTGCTCGACGCAATGGCGCTTATGTTGTTGTGCATCAGATTGAGCAGACGCAGGCTGTCGCTATTAAAGCTGGGCGCACGATTCAGTTTGTTCCAGGACAGATCCAAGGTGTCGATATACAGAGGCAGCAATTCGGTAAGATCCTCCGTCTTGTAGTCTTTGTAGCTGCAATCAATGTGCAGGGCACGCATGCCCCAAGGCGCGGCACTCACATTGCTGCACTCGCAGGAGAGACGCGTGTTGCGATGTGCGGCGGGATAACAAAAACGATCCACCTCCTCATCGTTGGCATCGATACGCTCCGGCCTGGATGAACCCAACAGCAGCAGAAGCAGCAACAGCTGGAGTTTTGGGCTGAGGGCAAAGTTCAATCTTGACGCAGCTCTCGTCGTCATTCTGCACGTCTTTGTCATGGAGTTTCGATTTGTTTCGTTTCGGCTACCACACTGAACAACAGCCAACGATTCGCTATTGAATTCTTTTGCTGCGACACTGCGACTCGATATGGCTGATAGGGGTTTATCTTATCGCTGGAAATAAAAAGCTTGAGGGTTTTGGAATGAGTGAGCAATTGCTGAGGCACAATGAGAAACAAGCACAAACTGTGCTCGAACGATTAATAAGGCAAAGCTGAAAAGTTTCGGAAAATATTTGGGCGAACTAGTTCTTTAGTTCACTTCGGGTTTGGTTAATAGCAAAAACCAATGGGAATTTCCAGTACGAACCGGTTCGGTTCACGTTCGTGATTATAAGTATTATTATTATTATTATTATTAACATTATTATTATTATTATTATTATTATTATTATTATTATTATTATTATTATTATTATTATTATTATCATCATTATCATCATTATCATTATCATTAGGACTAGCATTCGCATTAGCATTATCATTATCATTATTATTATCATTATTATTATTATTATCATTATTATTATTACTATTATTATTTTTGTTATTAATCCTCGATTTTCTGTTTATTTTCAATGCTGACATCTTGGTCTCGAATTTCCCAGCGCTATTTCGCTCACAATTTCCCAGCGCTCTTTCGCTCACAATTTCTGAGCGTTAGCCCTAATTCAGTTGGACAGTTGCGCGACATATGCTTAGGTTCATTTCAAACTCACTCCACTCGGCGCACTCATTCGTATCGTAAGTCCATGACTTTTGTTTCGTTCAGGTGTGCATTCAAATGTTCAATAAGATAAGGCGTTGAGCTTTATTTCTCTCTCACTCGCTCTCTTTCTCTCTTTTTTCTATCAGTGCTTTTGTTTTGGTCTCATATCATTTATCTAGTTCATTAATCATGGCCTATGCCAAAGCGTAAGCTCTGGACATGGGCAAACACAAAAGGTATTTCATGTGGCAGCCGCTGACACACATTGAACCACATTGAATATTGATGAAAATTGTTTGCTTGCGGCCCGAAGAAGTTAATACTTTTCTTTCTTTTTTTTTTCAAATACCACCCTCAAAAGTTGGGACTAATCCCTGACAGCGATTTACACGCTGACTTGACGTTGTTTCGATCTTATCCGCAGGGATTTGTGCGTTTCTGTGGAGCGTTAAATGAGCGCGAAATCAACTTAAATACTAATTACAGCGGCTACTGAAGGAAATTGACTTTTCAATGCCTCGGGCTGAAAATATATACCCTGTATGAAGCAAATATTGAGTAGTTCATATAAGAGGCCAGTTACTAAAAGTCTTAAACAGAGGCATTTATTTTTAATTTTGAAAATATCACAAATTTCAGAAATGAACTTTTCTGTCTTATAAATTTTCTGGTCGACTTTTGATTGTCAAATGTAATTTAATAGCTTTTTGGGCGTAGCGCTATTAAAATGTGTCAAAAAAGCAGCTACATTTTACTTAATTAACGCAAGAAATATTTTGATTAATGTATTTTGTGAAACACTTGCAGCTGGACATTTTCCTTTGAGGCAATGCCGCTGTTCTATAAAAGTCAAGCTTTATTTAAATTATTGTTGCCTCTGCATACATTATGCGAGTACTGTCAATGGTAAATTGATGAGGCGCGCAGCACACACACGCACACACACACGCAAAATGTAAATAAATTAAAGACTTTCATGGAAAACTGTTTGCCGCTCTTGACTTTTGTGCGAAGGCATAGCATTAAATTACATGTGAAGCGGAGAGTGAGGAGGGGGAATAGGTGGGCGGAAAATTGTGTTAAGAAAAGATAGGAGGGCTGGTTGGGGGGATGGTAGCCGGGGCGCAGAGCTAAAATGAGCACATGTAAAGCATTTAATGAGCTCTGTTGCCAGCTGCCAAATGCGCGCGCGTGTGTGTGTGTACTGTGTGTGTGTTGTGTGTGTGTGCATGTGAAAACATGTTGTTGTATTTCTAAAATTTTAGAATATGCCAGGCACACGTTTCAGCCTCGCAGGCAACCCCCGTCCGCTGTCCACGCGCCCTCGATACATTATTACAGGCAAATTTATTTTCAACTAAAAACTCATTAATTACATTGAAAAGCTGATTACGTGTATGCGTGTGTGTGTGTGTGTGTGTTTGCATATACTTAACGATAATTATGCACAATTTAATTAAACGCAATTTTGGCGACTCAGTGCCCGGGGATCTAATGGAATTGTTAATTAATAGGCCAAATTCAGGTTACATTTTTAAGAGAATGCAATAAATTTGGCACGCACGTGAAATCCATCAATTTCCGGCTTTGTTTTTGTGGTCAGCCGGCAAAAAATTGCAAAATAAAATTCGCGCTAAACGTGCAACAGTCAAAGTACATACACACACACACACACACACACACACAAGTTGTGCACCAGCACCTGCTGAATATTTATGAAAATTGTAATATTAAATTTATGCACGTGGCATGCAGCAAAAGACCGTTGTGTCCACAGGCTTAAATGCATGTGCAGCAGCGAGTGGCATGCAAATCCATGCCACAACCGGTTGCATGCAGGAAATGCTAATGGAAATCGAAATGGGAAAATCATTAAAAGGCGCATTCCGTTATCCTGCAATTGACTTTAATGCCCATCTGAATGTCAATGGACAGTCCAGCAGCCCAGTGTTGTGTAATGCGCAAAGAGATACACACATACACGCGGCTACATCAATTGCTGCGTTCGAGCTGTGCTAATTGAATCACTTGTCATGCATTTTGTCTAATAACAGCGCATTAAAATGCAAATAACAATAATGCATTGCATGGGCGTGACTGTGGGCCGGGGGGCGTGGCTGTCTGCCTGCAACCGCATCCGCTTACCGGAAGTGGCTGTGTGCCACTTGCCGCACACGCTGCAATAGCAGCTGCAAGTGGCATAAATGCCTGCATTATGCACACGCTGTGCAGCTGCATGACTTTGCGTATACGTTATTTTTTTTAGTACCTGAAAGTATGCAACAAAGCGAGTGAAAGGGAGGCAGACAGTCAGACAGACACAAAGGTGCAGCACATTAGCTAATTGGCTTTGAAAACGTTTCTGTTATGCCCGATGACATTTTGCAGCACATCTCTCTTCCTCTCTTGCTCTTCTACTATTTCGCCCTCATTTAAGGCCCCGGTTAGTTGGGCACCGTAAGCGCATCTGTGAATATTCCTTTTAAAGAATTCCAAATGAGCTCGCTGCGCAATCAAAGCAGGCACAACACACACACACAGAGTAGGGTTTGTGCTTTTTGTCAAAAATTGTTAATATATATATGTGTAGAAAAATATATCTAAATATGTTTAGTTACCTTAGTTTAGATGGGGACCAAAGATTTCGTGGGTGACGTTTCGAGCTCAAACTCATTTCTCGGTTACAAACTCATTTTCGAAGACCTTTAAGACATTTGTATACGTGCCACGGGCAAGGTCGGGGGATACCAGCTATTATCCTATATAGACATAGACAAATTTTCCCAATATCCATAACTCTTCCAAAAATCATCCGATTTGTACGAGGCTTGGCTCTCTGTTCGTGCTTTGGTCTCCTGATCAATTCTGCATCTTAATCTGGGAACATTATTTTTAGTCAAAATTCATGTGAAATCGGTACCCTCAAATATCCTATATAGACATAGGTCGAAAATAATTAATTAATTAACTTACCATCCGAGCGGCTTAAACCTCATTTTAAGAGATCTTTGAGTAGAGCTAGTATATATATTGTTCTCTCTGTCGGATATAAACAATTAAATAGGTAGGTGTATATATTTAAGATCCTGACGAAGAGCTGGCTTCAGCCCATTGAAGAATTTACGTTCTCATTTAATCTACGATAATCGAATGAAAGCTTTTATCTAAGATCCAATGAATTGTCATATTAACATTTCTATCCAGATAAATTCATATGTTAGGGTATATAAACTTCGCTTTGTTGTCGTTAGCTGCACGTTTATTTACTGCGCTCAATTAAATGTCAAATTTAAAGAAAATGATTTCGTCTAATGGCTGAACGTGCCACAAAACGACCTCGTTGCGTACTTCTGTATAGCATGTAGCATGTCTAATGCCCTGACTAAACAATAGGCCAAACCTAAGCTCAAGTGGGGGAGTGTGTGTGTGGGTGGGTGTGTCTGCGCATTAAGCTGCGTGAGGCGAGCACACAACAAGCAGGTGAACAATTTAATACTTTCATTTGATCAAAATGATAAAAGCCAAAAAGGAACCACACACCCACACGCAGTTGCCGTAAAGTTGGCTTAATGAATAACTTAGATAACGTATCTAAAGGCAGACATTTTGTGGCTATCATTGATATAAACATTAAATTGGCAAAAGTTATTAAAAGATTAAGTCTTAATAAATTGAAAAACAAGCTTATGAACTGCAAAGTGCAGAACTTAAAAGAGAGAGGGCGGAAGAGAAAGAGTGAGAGGAGGTGAGTGAAAGAACAGAAGTATCAAAGTGCAAGTCTTTGTTAAGTATTGTCTGTTGGTTCTAGAACGAACTAGTTCATTTGTAATATATGTGTGTGTGTGTGTGTCTGCCAAGGATATGCTCGTTTATCTTCCTAATGAACCGTTTTGAGTGCAATTTTTCGGTTTTTGCAACGCTTTTGCAACTCATTCTAAGCTGTTTGTTCTTGCTGGCATTTGGCAACAGTTATTCAAGAATACAAAACCATATATTTGTATACTATGTGTATATATATTTATATATATATCTATCTATTTCTATTTCTAAAAAGCTCTCAAAGTGCGTTGGCTGTGCTGGAAGCGAAATGAAATTTGCAAACCTTTGACGGCTTTGCGGTGTTAGTTGAATGCAAATACTTGCAGATTCTCTCCCTCTCGCTCTTCCCCACTCTATATCTTTCTCTTTCTCTCCCTCTCAATCTTTCCCACATACACAACTTAACCAATCACAAATGTTTTTGACTACAAGCATAAGATTTACCAACTCAAAATACACCTTCCACAAAGTGTGTGTGCGTGTGTGGGTGTGTGTGTGTGTGGGAGTGTGTTTCGCCGTCTTCATTAAGTGTCAAATAGTTTTGGCTCTCAAAAATTTACTGCTGTGCTCTTGGCTGCTGAACTAAATGCCAACACCTGCTGGCAACTGTGCGTATAAGTAATATGCCATGAAATTAAGTATTCGCAGTGTGGTCCTTTATTAAAATCGTTTTAAAGAGCCATCAAATAGATAAGCGTATGCATTAAACTAATAGTTTATTAATGACTTGCAAGTGAGACAAACAACAGTTTACGAATTGAATTGCCCTCAATATAAGGCTGTAAAGTGTTTAGAGCATACAACTTTTCAATACCCTGCAGATATTTAAATTAAGTTAAAGGCAGGTTAAGAGTGCAACAGACTATAAAATGGACTTTGTTATAAAATATTTTAAAACATGTTCTCAAGACAACAAGCACAACAAATGCTGTCAAGTGCCTAGAGCAAGCTGCATTTTGATACCCTATGTGTGCATGCAGAGAGGGTATCTGTGTGCTAAGCTTTTATGTTTAAATAGAGCTCAGGTTGAGCTAAGAACCCGCTGACTGCAGCCCAAGCGACGCTTAAATAATAATTCTCGCATTTACAGGACATCACACAGTCAATCATTCAGCTTAAATGCCTGCCTGTTGCTTATTGCAATTTCGCACATGAAAGGCAATTTGCTTAACAACAACATTTGTCCCGATGTGCCTGCACAGGCCCGCTGCCCGCCTGCCTTGCGTGGCCATAGGATGCCTTCACGTTTGGCTCAGAAATGAGAATTCAGTTTCATTTGCAAACGTCAAACCGCCCCCCCTCCAAAAAAAACTCCTCTCCCACGCCGCTGCCAGCTTGTTGTTTTTCTGCTGTGGACACAAAACTCTCACTAGCTGCCAACTGGCCAAAAAGTTGGGAATGCATTTCATTTCTGGTTTCATTTGTTGTTGCTGCAACTGTTGCTGTTGCTGTTGCTGCTGCTGCTGCTTCGAGCTGTAATTTGATTTGTTTGGACTATTCTGTAGCTTGTTTTTGTGTGTGTGTGTGTTTTTTTTTTTTGGCCTTGCTGCATGAAATGTATTGCCATGCGGCAACTGCGAGCTTGGCTTGTTATTTTTTCTTGTACTGCTGCTACTGCTGCTTCTGCTTCTTCTGCTGTTGCACTAATTAATTTTGCTGCTGTTGCATGCTGAATGCTGTTCGATTTTTGATTGAGCCACAATTAGTCCAGTTCAGCTGGCCATAAATGTCGCTCTACGGTTCAAAGCTCACATTGCATACATTAGTCCAACTCCTAGACCAGCTGTGTGTGTGTGCAGTCATTGCGCATGTCCTGCATGGCATGGAAGATTTATTGCCTTTGGCCTTTGCTAAGCTTGAAATTAATGTACTTCACAGTTGAGTTTAGCAGCTGCCAAAACGCCACCAACAGATTAGCGTGGCCCAAACAACTGCCTGCCAATCTGTGCATGTGTGTGTGCGTGTGTGGGCGGCTGTCTAATGAAGTTGTTAAGGCGTAGGCGGGCGTATTCTTGTGTGTGTGTGTTACAAGTACTCGCTTGCACTTACGCTCAGCAGGCAAAACATACAGGAAAATCTAATAAGACGCTTATGACTACGCTTGTGTGTGTGCCTGGGTGTGTTGGTGTGTGTGCATGTATGGCTCGTGTTTTAGTCAAAGCTTTCACAC